GTCAAATCAAGTCTTTGAGGGACCACTCATATGAAAATGTGTTTCCCCTACAGGTTCATTTTCATGTAAATTAAACTCTGTTCCATATGAAAGGTTTTGCATGAGGACTCACTCTGAAACAGAGGTAAAAGGTAAGTCAGAAATGGCCTATTGCTTTGACAAATTGGGTAGTTTGAGAAATAAAGGGTAAAATTATGGTGTCCAACTGAGGGGTAGGATATAACTTTTTGTTTGAGTCATCAGGAGGTTCAAGAAACCAGGATTCCACAGTATTAATTACCAGTTGAATGATGCCTTTGTGGAAGACCAACCACCTTTAAGGTTCAATTCTGTTTCCATGCAGCAACAATATTGATTACACCACAACATGGTAACTGTTATCATATTTTTATTACCTGTATCCTGCTAGAATATTAATCAAAGTCGACTTCCCAGCTCCTACAGGAGAAAAGAAATTGAGGTGTGAGGTGCTACACCACTTTCCTGCAAGAATTGTTTGCTATGGATCATGTTTAGAGATCAGAAAGACCAGAATTAGTCTAGGACAATTCTAAGTTTCTTTTTTGCAGATATATGTAACTTTAAATGCTCAGTCTAGCAATTCTTTTCATTTGAGCTAGCAAATTCATGATTTAAAATTAGTGAACCAAACTCCGTAATAAACCCCCTCCCCTCCCTGACCCACTGTCTGTCTCAAAAGGTCCTGAAAGGAGATAACCCCACCACCCCTATGCTCTATTTCTGCTGCTCTCTCGTGTCAAGTCTATTTTCCTCCTCTCCTCTCCTTCAGGGGAGCAGTGCAGGCTCCTTTCCCGAACAGTGGCTGGCAATCGAGCCTACACAATTCCCTGTGAGCTGGCTTAGTTTTACAGTATGAATGATATGGGTTTAGGCTTTTAGGCACCCAAAATACTATTTTTCCAGGAATAATAATGTGTCAATCGATGTCAATAAGCTAATAACATGCAGGGGCATTTCAATGGCCCTTCAATTCCTAAATCATTACATAACTCTGTTCTCTATTCTGTGAATATCAAATTTAGTGTTGTGAAATATACAGATCAAAGTATTCACTATACAAGTCATGTAACTGAGGTGCTTACATGACCATCAATTTAATTCACATCATTCAAACAAGTGTACTGCAAGACTTACTGACAATCCTATTGGATTTCACAAGTCATAGACTCTTCCTGAGCTTATAAACTCAGCATTGAACTATTTTGAATGTTTAGCTTATAAATTATATTGTACAATCTGTCACGAAGAATAAAAAGAATGTCCAGCAATACAATTGTGGCTATATCAATCAGCATTTTATAACAGGCCAAGAGAGGGTATATTGCAAGTGATTTTGGTGTGTATAAAATGTCGTAAAAACTTAAAATTTTTAATTAACAAAAATAGCTATTTAAATAAATAAATAAATAAATAAATAATTATTTACATGAGAGGTTTTACATGCTGATATTATTATTTCAGTCGACCACATATTCCTAAGCCACTAATGCAATAGGTCAATTTCGACATATTAAAATTGTAACTTAGTTCAGAGGATTGGGAAAATTAAGCAAATAAAACCACAATAAGGTTGAGGAATGAAATATAATTCTTTCTGTTTTGTTCCTCCATGTCTCGTCCGAAAGCTCTGAAAGTTTTAACTTTATATAGCCAGTGAACGTTTTTTATAAATTTTAAACTAATTTTATCCCCCGATTTTCCCAACATGAATCCGATTTTCTAAGAAAGCTTTTCGATTGAAGACTACACACCTCAAAGGGAATTTTAAGCGAAAGTAAAATTCCCATTTCATGTTTCGTTATGGTACTTTACTGACAATTCTCCCCGTAAACTAGTTTTAATCTTCCTAAAGTCTGCAGGTGCTTAGTCTCATACGCAGACGTTCTTAGGGCTCGTCACACAATCTTCTTGACCCATATGGGGCAAATTGCGTGACGATCCCTCGGACCGCGAAATATTTTTTCCCCTTACAAATCACGCAGCATAGAAGGAATCAAGTTTTAATGCCATATTAATAAAGTTTACAGTGCAATACGCAAGGAATATTAAGGATTTAAATCTGGACAGTTTTTTGTAGGAAAATATAGTACATTGAAAACAATTTGGGTTTTCACTTTACAAACATTTTTCTTTTAGCTCAATATTTAAAGAACTATCCACACGTTTCCACCAAGTTCCCTCAAACCTTAATGGGCTTGGTGAATTACTAAAAAGTTTTACTATATATTTGGACAAATTATTTTGCTTTCCCAAATCTCTCCCGTTCTTTATTTTGACTTTGAACCTTCATAACAGTAAATACGACACAATAAAATATGAAAAACACTACTAACATATAATTAACATTCAGAATAGAGATATAAATATTTTCCATTTATCTATTTAACTTTCATTTGACAGCTGATTTACTCTCATTTTTAACATGTCACCGGCACCATTAACCAGTTCCACCTACCATCGGTCGCTACGGAAGATACAATTTAGAAGAAATTTTGTACAATAGAACAGGAGGACGTGTATCGTTCTAGAATCTGGTCCCAATCGTAACAACTCCATGAGAGCAAATTGCGTCCAAAACGTCTTTGGCAATTGAACCGCACGAGGTAGTACTTTAGAAATGCCAAGCTGAATTAGTTCCCTTACGCCACGACAAATTTACAACTAACATTGTGTAGGTCAGTATGGACTCAATATTGAGAAGTAAAGAGCGGTTGATTATCATCTCAAAACAAACTCAAGATATCGTCACATTAAAGACCGTGACAAATACCATAGTTTTGAGAAGGGAGGATGAAGGTGTAAGAAAAGAGAGTGAAACATCAGCGCTTTATGAAAGATAGAGAGCGAGGGGACGAATTATGGAGAATTTTCATACGTTATGTAGTCAGGCTGATGCAACGGAAAATACAGCCTGAAAATGTCGAGAAGGCTCGTTTCATTTGCTTCTAGGCAACACAAACAGGTCAATGGTCCAGCCATTGCTTTCAAACCGCAACCACTGCATAACGTAATGGAAGTTTCGAGTACAGTTGAACTAAAAGACAGCAAAGAAAGTCCTGCTTTCTTTGCTGTCTTTACGTTCTGTTTAAAGCGCTATTGATTGGTGAAAATGCACTTCAGTAAAAACAACGTTGTTTTTCTACCCACCCCCCTTCTTCCCACAAACGTTGTACACTGAAGTACTTGGGCGTGAAAACAGAAATATGGTTACTGAGATAATGATTTTTTTTTTGTTTTCTCCACACAGCGGAGGGCTTTATATATGGGTATGTCAGTATTTAATAAAAACACGTAACAATTTTCTATTTGTTGAATGAAGGATCCCTAAAACGGCACCCGTTACGAATCCCAAAAATTGTCTGAAAATAATCGTCATTTGCAAACGCGCACCTTCTTTGAAAATATCATTCCTAAAAATTTCAATTCCAACATAAAACTATCCCATTAAACTCGTTTAAAAACTACAAACTCTCACATATCATCGAACCATGGCGACAATCCGCCAAAAGCTCGCTTTGTAACAGTCAATAGCTTTAACAGGCGGATCTAAGCTGCATTGCCACTCCTCTACTAGCCACGACCCAAGGTCAATGATATGACTTCACCTTGTATCGCAGCACGAGATACGCCGCTAATCTTAGAATGATGAAGAACAGAAACAGTACAAAGCCATCAAAGTAAATCTTGGCGCCTTCTAAGTAGAGAGCATTTTCTTCTACATCCATGGACGCCAAAACATCCTCGCTGTTGACGAATATACAGCGTTTGTCCTTGCATTCTAAGGGTCCTCGTTTATTGCCATATATGGCGACTACCGTGCCTTCCCAGCTGTATCGCGCGTAAGACACGTATGTAAGCCACTGCATATACTTTGGTATGGTGTCAAAATTCACGAAGAAACCGCTGAATAGTAGCACAGGTATACCAGTCACTGGGGCGACGTACACCGCAGTCTGTGAAGAGCGATGGAAAAATGAAAAAAAGTTTTGATCGAATTTAAGTATTTTATGACCGTTATCAACCTATAATGAGTTATAATGACTTTTCCATACTCACCGGAAGACTGGGCGCCACCGTTCCTATAAGAAGCCCAATGGATTGCGCCACGAGACACGTGAGTATCGTGATGGACAGAAACTGAGTGTAACGCAATCCTTCATTTGGTTGATCCGTCATGAAATATACTATTGTACAGTAAATCACTGGAAACAGGATCTGTTAAAAGAAAGACGAGATGAGTTCTCACTGACTCCTATAGAGCCCTTCCTTTGGTCCGTCAAGCTACCTTTCGAATTGATGCGTGACACGCCCAAAGCTAAGGGCGTGATGGGATATTCTCGGAGTTCTGATAAGAGTGCAAGCTCTGCCCTTCAACCAACAAGGGCAATAAACATCTTTGCGTCAAAATTACAATAACGGTTACTGCCCTCTATGGAGAGACTGTTACACCATCGTAGGGTGCAGACCTCAAAGCTAGGCTTCAACCTGCAGTACATCCCTGACACCTACGTTGCTACCTAGAGATTTCATCCAGAATCCACGACAAACTCTGAAACATCTGTTCTCTTGCGCCATTTCTAGTCCGGACGAGAAGATATCAAGCAAGCCTCGGTTATCCTTACCTGGAATGGAACATCAGCCATTGTTTTCGCCAAGTAGTAGGATTTGAGACTGTACCAGTTGTTCAAATGTTCGCGAATAAAAACGAGTTTTTCCATGGGGACTGCAGATTAGAATACAGGAAACACATTTTATTACTAAGAACAAATATTGACTATTGATCATCAAAACACTTAACCGACATTTTCCTGCAGACACCTCAAGCATTTTATAATTCGAGAAAGAAGAAATCTAGAACAGTTTCTCCGAGCATCGCAGTCAAACTTTGATACGAGAAAAGTTGTACTTGGTTAAGAAACCACTCAATACTAAAAACAAGGAAGCAACTTGTGATAACTAAAACTAAGTTTGTTTAGAAGCAATGTTCGTCTCCTACACAGAACCTGACGCTATATTTATTGGAAAAAAAGGCGAACAACAGCTTTTGCTGTACTTACACGTGAGGACAGTGGGCATAAGAGAGGTAAACATGAGAAAAAGAAGCGAGAAGAACAAACAGCCAGTGTTGTTGAAGACTTTACTGCCGTCGTTTCCAATGCCGTGATATAAGAGTCCTATGAGCAGACCAACTGACGCTATGGAGATGAACCGAAGGTGAGTGAAAACACGATCTCTGAAGATGGACTGTGCCGCTCTTTTCAACAAGACCATGAACTGTAGAGAAAGATCAACAACAACAAAAAAAGATACCAAATGAGTGTCACTAGATAAAACAAATTTGTAAGGAAACGTGTTAACAAGCAGGCAGCCTAGATCGATATCAGTGCTTGCCTTTCAGGGCACAAAAAAGAATAAATGACAACTGGTACATGGGACCCTCACAGAAATTTCAGATAACTGAATGCAGGGAATTTGTCTCTCTTAGTTCCTGGCGTTTGGTCAGAACGAATGGCGGACGAAGAAAAAAAAATTCCTCTCTTTTCTTCCGTGCTGTTCCCAGCTAACTGAACCCCTAGAATGGCGACCATTTTAATTTCAAACACTCGGCCGGCTAGTACTAGGATTGGAGCCGAAAATATTGACGACCAGGAAAATTCGGCAGTTCAGGTAATATCCGATTGCACGGCGCGTTGTGATCGACTTCCGAAGGATTTTTCTGTTCCAGATCTCTTTTTTGTCACTGATCTTAATCTTTAATCTTTAACCTTTAATCATTCTTTAGACACGGCAAAAGTTACTTAGTTACTTTACACAGCGGGCGAATAAGAAGTTCCCGTGCATCGTTTAAAATTCAAAAAGGTAACATACATCAAAGCATGTGACGTAAACGTTTTTAGTAAGAGTCCCTCTGTGGAGACAGTGAGTGAGCAACCTCGTTCCCAGGGCTTTTTTCCTCAGAACGAGGTTGGTTAGTGAGGGCATTTACCAGGGAAGCAGGGATGGCGCACTAGTGAGAGCCCTCGCCTCCCACCATTGTGGCCCGGCTTCGATTACGGCCCGGTGTCATATATGGATGTCGAGTTTGTTGTTGGTTCTCGCCTTGCTCCGAGGGTGTTTCTCCGGGTTCTCCGGTTTTCCTTCCTCCACAAAAACCAACATCTCCAAATTTCAATTGGACCAGGACAGAGGACCTGCATGAAAACCAGCTAAGGCTGATGTGGCTTTCTCTCTAAATATTGTCATTTATTTATTAATTCACCTGCGTGGTTTGACTTGCAGCATGTATGATGCTATCAGTACTGGTCTTCACGTTACAGTTGGGTAGCATAGACACCACCATGTTCCTAGAGTCATAGCTACAGCTGGTACTACTTGTAAGGCTTTTCTTCTGAGTCATGGACTCCTCACGCGCTTTCCACGCCTTCACAAGGCCTGGGATCACATTATCGCCATACTCTCCTGATGCAACCTCTATGACTGAAAAAAAGGCAGCAAAATGTTAGCGAAATGGTTAGATGAAAGAAGCAAGGCCCCTGTTAGAGTGTGGGGGAGGTGGGTGGTGGCAAAGACAGTCAACATTCTCCTGTCACTCTCAAAATATAGAGTTATTTTCCCTGTTCAAGTTAACTCTCACACTGCCAGCAAATTTTCATGGGCTATCACATCCGATTAGAAAACAAATTAAAGTTGTTGATGTGTTGTAGTGTTCTGTGGCCGCAATTTATAAGTAGAAATACGCGGAACCGTGAAAACTTCTGAAACTGCTCAGAGCTCTAGGAAAAACCATATACGAGGATGTTCTGGCATGTGACTTGGTACACCCAAGCTCACGTGACAAATAGATTCCCACCACATTCACTTGAGAAAGACGCTGTAACTGCGTCGAAAGCTTGTGATCGCTAAGACATTGACTATGCTTTGGTATCTTGTTTTCTTATCAATTTCCCGTAATTGTTTCCACTCTGGACCTCGCATTAGCTGACTGCGAATTTCAAATTCAACATGGCTGCCGTGGATCTTGTCTTGGTTCAGTTCTCAAGCTTGGTACTGTCTTAGATTCACTGTAAGTACATACTGTAGTCTGCAGGATTGTGGTACTTGGGACAAACCAGACCCTCGACAGCCAGGTACGGTATTAGGTCTTGTACAGTGCCCTGGAACAAGCACTTTCCTTCTGCTAAAATGTACAGCTGGGGAAAGAATAATTAAGGTAGCGATCAGCTTGTTGCAAACTTGTGGTTTAATGTTAAATAATTCAAATACTGATTATAAAACTTATTGCACTCGTGCGTGACATTGAAGGATCTGATGTTGCCGTGGCTGAATTTGTTTTGTGGTCTTCTGCACAGACAAGTGGAGACAAGATTGACACAAGGCTAAGACAAGGTTGGCAGAAAATGTGGACAGAGTTGGTACGAGGTTGGCACAAAGCCGAGACAAAGTTGGCACAAAATTGTCATAAGTTAAGGTTGGGACAAAATTGGCCAGAGGTCCCAGCAAGATTGGCATGAGGTTGGGACAGGATTGGCATAAGGGCAAAGATGGTTAGGACAAAGGTGGCATGAGACAGAGGTGAGGTTGACAGAAGGTTGGAACAGTGTTGCTATGTGCCGGTGAAAACAATCCCATTCGCTGCTTTTTTTTTTCATTTCTCAGGGCAAATAGCACAGTTGAACTTCTTTTATACAGAAACCAACAGCCACAGCCGAGTATCTGTATTATGGAGGTCAGGTGTCTGTATAATACGGGTAGAAATTGAATCTTGAATTTTGCTTTCTCTTGGGCAAAGTGAGCTGTCTGTAATATAGAGGTGCCTGCATGATGGAGGTGTCTGTATGAAAAGGTTTGACTGTACAACAATAACATTTATTATATGGCTTGTGTTTGTAGCCGATATAAGGTACGCTCTGATTGGCTAATTCTAGGGCATTATTCTCCTGTAAAGCCCACGATTACAGGCTCGAGAAACCAAAGGAAAAAGCCATGTAATAAACAACTTATTAACTGAGAGTGAGGTCTTTACGGGAAAATCTCAATCCTTGGCTTTGCCGTATTGACCTCGCCATCGCTCAATCAATACGGCACGGTCTTGGTTTGAGATTTTCCCGTAAAGACCACTCTCAGTTAATAAGTAGTTAATAACAGCAGTAAGAAACTGAACGAACCTTGTCAAACATTTCAAAGAGTTTTGCACTNGTCAGGTGTCTGTATAATATGGGTAGAAATTGAATCTTGAATTTTGCTTTCTCTTGGGCAAAGTGAGCTGTCTGTAATATAGAGGTGCCTGAATGATGGAGGTGTCTGTAAGAAAAGGTTCGACTGTAGAACAAAAACATTTATTATATGGCTTGTGTTTGTAGCCGACATAAGGTACGCTCTGATTGGCTAATTCTAGGGCATTATTCTCCTGTAAAGCCCACGATTACAGGCTCGCAAAACCAAAGGAAAAAGCCATATAATAAACAACTTATTAACTGAGAGTGAGGTCTTTACGGGAAAATCTCAAACCTTGGCTTTGCCGTATTGACCTCGCTATCGCTCAATCATTACGGCAAGGTCTTGGTTTGAGATTTTCCTGTAAAGACCTCACTCTGAGGTAATAAGTAGTTAATAACAGCAGTAAGAAACTGAACGAACCTTGTCAAACATTTCAAAGAGTTTTGCACTTGGTTGATGGATGGTACAAACCACAGTCCTTCCACCATGAGCCAGTGTCCTCATAAGACTGATGCACTGGAATGCTGATGAGCTGTCCAGTCCACTGTTCAAACATAGCAAAAACAAAACCAGGTCAATGATGCACTGGTTAAAGTAATTTAGAGTCGGTTATGATAGGCACTAAAGTTTGGTTTTACAACCAATAGGTCATTTGTTAGTTGGCTTTTGCCTCTGTGTCAAAATGAGTCTTTGTGCGAAACCATTCGTATGAAAATGTGTTCAGCCTTGAGGTTCATTTTCGTGTGAATCAATTAAACTCTTGTTCACATGAAAGGTTTTGCATGAGAACTCATTTTAAAACAGAGGCACAAAGTAACTCACAAATGGCCTATTGTATTAAACAAATCAAAAATGCACTCAAGATATGCTTATTTTCAAACTTACTTTTTTGCATTGATGGAAACAGAGTTTTCATTCTACATTTCACAAAATCGTTGAAAGATTTCATCATCAGTTGTAAACGTTTGTGCGGATAGTAAATTTTGGTGATGTATGCCAGGCTAAACGTTCTGCGAACTGGATCAAGGTTTTACTCTAGTTCACACAAATATGCAAGACCTTTGCTATTTCCACATACTGTTTGCTTTCATTCGCAACATGTGCTTAAAAAATAAAGTTTGATCTCACGAGTGACCAAGAACTAAATTCTCCAGTGATATCACTACACTATCAAGCAGTTAATAGGTTATTAGAAAACAAAAAACAACAAATTCATCAAATAGGATATAAGAGAAGCAACAACCCTGGGACTGAACTTACAAAGCTCTCCTAAGTTAAGATGCATACCAAGCTTTGTTTTTTAACAGTAGCCTTTTGTATTCAAACAATACTTACGAGTCATTGTAATCTAAAAGGCTTTTGTGACTCTGGCTCCCAGTGTAGATGCAGTTTTTCTGGGCCATACCAAGCATTTTCAATCAGCTTTTTAACAGTCTTCCCTTAATCAAATCTATATGAAAATTATACCTGTCCAGTAATTGGAAATGGATTGAAGTTTGGTAATATGTATTTCTCAAGGCAATCAATATTTCCATGGAAACGATAAACAAAAAAACTGAAAATCGGTAAAACATGAATTTTGCATGAACCAGATGTCCATGGAAATATTGATTGCCTTGAAAAATATGTAATACCAAACTTCAATCTATCTCCAATTAATTTTCATATTGATCCAAGAAGACTGTTAAAAAGCTCGCTGAAAATACTCGACTAGTACATGTATGGTCCAGAAAAACTGTATCAGGACACAGGGGATCACTAATACACCCCACTTACCTTGTAGGTTCATCTAAAAAGATCAGTGGTGGATTATTCACCAGCTCAAGTGCTATTGCCAGCCGCTTCCTCTGGCCACCAGATATTTCACTCAGTCTTGTATTGGCAGTCTCTGTCAGGCCCAGGTTTACCAGGATTTCATTGATCTGGTAATGCAAACAGTGTAAAGAAGACACAAATAAATGCACAATAAGCTAACAAACAAACTTTAGACACAGATATCTGGAGAGTGAGGTCCAGATTTACTCCAATCTGGTAACTTCAGCAGACTATTAAAGTTTTTTTCCATTGAAATAACACACACGATATTGAATCAACTTACCACTCTTTCCTTGTCTTCATGTGATAGACATTCCCTGAGATGCAAATTGGCAGACACCTGAACAGGAAAACATGCGAACACAATAACTATATNAACTATTCTCACCCTGGCTATATCCTAACAAGTCTTAATCATATTGAAATTAGAGAGCGGGTTTACAGAGGCCATGCATGGTGTGTGATGAGGGCAAAAAATTACTGTATGACACATGATAGCAACCAAAAGGGAGAAATAATAAATAAGTCCATTGGTGAAAGTATATTGTGATGCATGAAGAAACATGATCAATACATGTAGCTGCCTCCTTTGGCACATTCTACGAGGTATTCAGTCTGTAGTAAGTACATTGTCGCTTAAATAAGTGTCGTTGCTCAATATACAGCACTCAGCACCCTTAAGATATAGCGATAAAATTAGGTCCTAAGAGGAAATTATATATATTGATGCTAAATAATCATACAGTACCTGATGGCCCCAGCACAGCAACCAGCTCACCACTTCTAAACTCTCCAGATACTCCATGAATTATTGTCTTTTGCTCTGAAAACAGACACTAGTTAGGGTGCTGGCCAAATCCAGAGTACACGGAAGAAGAATGGGAACAGGAAATATTTAAAACATGAAATGCAAAATGATGTTTTTCATACTTTAAGTTCTCTGATTAGTCTAAATATCACAGACCTGACAGTGGTTAGCTCAAAATAATAATGGAGAGATAAACCCTAGCTTGTACAGACACCTGTATCCCACATTGACTCTTATCCGCAGTGCCATTTCCTTATTTCCTGTTTTAAGCAAGCCCCTGGGAATATAGTCAAGACAACTAGGGACCTTTATCTATAGGGGAGGTTCAAAATGTAATGTTTGTATAAAGCTGCAAGAAACAAGACTAAGTGTGTGATAAGTATAGGTGTCTGTTAAGGACAGTTTGACTGTACACACATATATACAGACTTAATGATCCATGGGATTGATTGAGAAAGATAATAACTTCTTGAACAATAATCAGGGAGAAAACTAATAATTATTGCGGTACATTAGCCCACAGTCTTATGTAAAGCTCTTTCACAGAATGATGAAATTGCTTCATTCCCAAAATTGAATGAATCACCATTACTATGTATTTTGAATTTCCTTTCCGTCCCTTCTCTATAGATACTTTGACCATTTTCCTCTCAACACTAAGCTATAAGGTAAGGGTATACAGGAATGAACGAATTCAACCTGTCATTTTAACTATAAATATATATTGTTAGGTAAAAGATACATTTTGGTACAAAGGCTTGAGCTAAAAACTTAAAGCCTATCTCAGTTTTTAGACTTTGTTAAGAATAAGATCATTGTACAAAGAGCTATTTTTTATTCCAAAGTTCAAATGAACAAGTTTTATTCTGTAAGGAAACTATTCCTTAATCTGTGACAACAACTGTAAGTAGGATAATAAGAGGTATTATCAAGTACTCTGGTGCAAGTCCATCTCTTTTGTAATGTGCTGAAATAAATAAATTTATTAAAAAAACAAACAAACAAAAAAGAAACCACAAAAAAAGAATGACAATTCATTTTAGGGAAAAACAGAATGAATAATTCTACATGAAACCCAATAAATTAATGAGCAATAATTGATACCCTGATAGTCTGTTTTTGTTCAACTTCCACCAAGTCTATGGATTAAGCTTTTGTTTGAATGGTCACACACTTAATTAAGGTTTTTATCTGCAGACTCACAATCAAAAATCATGAAAAAAACTAATTCGATTTTAATATAAACATTAATTTTATCTTTTTTTCTGTCATTAAGGTTTAGCTCTGCTAGTGACACTGGTTTATCTGAAGCCAGTTCATTAATTAGTAACAGAGTGCCTGTCATAGATTATACAGTCAGGTATGTCCTATCAAGATGGAGTGCATGTTTTCTTTGGTTTTGAAATTAAGTTAAGTAAACCACTTGTCACTGTGCAGTGTATCTACACACTCATGATCAGAAAAAATTACTGACATTGGAAAAATTTCACATTAACAATAAGGTTTAAGTTCTAGGATTGACACCTCACCACTTTGTTTAATTACTGTCATGCATACACTACACGTGCCTAAGTTTCAAGACTGTCGAAAAACAACTTTTAAGAGGTCAAGAAGGCAAGGTCACCATTCAGTGGGAAAAACCACACACAAACTGTCCAATTTCATTGACAAAATTTGCTTATGTTAACTAGCTATACATAATAATATTCTTATAACATGGTGAAATTACTGAAAGCATAAGGTGTAGTTAAATTCTTGTGTCTAAAGTATGTATTTTAATTTAACTCAACTGTAACAAATGAAATATAACACCAGGTTAACTGGGAAGGGAAATGCTTGAAATAAATTGAAAGAAAGAGCTATATTAGGTAACACTGAGATGTGATCAGGTTTTAACCAGCTTAGGTTCACGTGCAAGGGCACACCTACTGATACTCACTCCACCATCACACCACGCATGAGAACATGTAAAGGTCACATATTTACTTACAAAATGCATGTGGTTTAATAACAAGAGTCACTATCTGCATCATGGCACGAGGAATATACTGCTATTGTGTTAAATTATTACTATTATTTAACAGAATAACATTTTTGAAAGAAGGCAAGGCTCTGAGAGAGATCAACACCAGTGTTATGGAACCAGCAAGAAGGAATTTTGGATAAGGACCTGGTGAAGATGCTCGAAGAGTGACCTTGGGCAGAACAGTAGTAAGCCCAGAGCGGAGGAAAGCTGAGGAAACAGGTTCTCTCTTGTGACATTTGATGGCATGAATTTGTGTTAAGTCTTGTCACTCAATGACCTGCCCAAGGTCTAGAAGGATTTAGTTAGCCAATTAGAACACAGCTTGCATTGTAAAAAGAGTCCCTTGTTTTAAGGTATGATCAGCAAATTCCTGAACTAGTATGTCTTGTCAATCAGTGACCTTCCCCATGCTCCAGGCGTAAAAGGATTTAGCTAGCCAATTAGAACACAGCATGCATTGTGAAAAGAGTCCCTTGTTTTATTAAGGCATAATCAGTGAATTCCTGAACTAGCTAACATAATCTTATGGCTCCTCGTTTTTTTTCTACATTTTCATACATTTTTATGTTCATTTATGACTGAAAAACTAACATTAGCTAAGTGCTCACAATAAATCCAAAGTTATCAAAAGATACCAATATGCAAGTTTATGAAGAGGTTCTAATTTTTTATGATACTATGCTGTACTACTCTCCTGTAGGTCCGATATAGGTGTTCAAACATTTAGGACAATTTTAAATGTTTTTTTTTTTTAATTCCAGAAAAAAAAGTATCTACAGTTGTATGATTTTAATGATGTAAAGTATGCAGAGATTTTGTAGCCTTAGCAGTGGATCTACGATTTGTTTCCTCGAACGTTATCGTAAATAAGCAAGCTGCTGTCTTAATATAAACTTTACTGTTCTTTATTGGTTATTCCGCGGCTATATTATGCATATGGGGGGCTTTTAAGAGCCAGAAAATATATCTCGTTGCATGTGACGTATGTAAATAGTGATATGCTGTATTTTAGCGTTATGCCTTTGTCAATGGCAAAAGTATACTTCAAATTGTTTAAAACGTATTTCCTTCAAGTTTGTTTAACATAGGGAAGCTCGTTAAGCCTTGCGGGCAACTTTATAAACGATCACTTGCATTCGTTTTTGCAGGTTCTTGGTGTTTTACATTTTTCGAAAAAACGTTTTGATAATAACGCTTTTGGTCTTTTACCGTGTCGGACACAAGGAAACTGGAAGTAAATTAAAAGGGAATCGCGTACGTATTTTATATTTTAATCTGCCATTTCCGTGCAAGGGAATCCACGATCCTGGCTTTTGTCCTTGAACCCGCCTTGTATTGACAATTACGCATTGTCGGTTTCGGGGAAAACACGAGAACACAACATGAAAATAAAGCTAATACTGCAAATCAGAATTTTAGCGTTGTTGTTCTCAAAAATGGCGTTTATTATGGTTATTTCATTGGACGTTTTGGAAACACCAGGCAATCGACATTTCATTCGGTAGGGAAAACCCTGCACTGACGAAATACCACGCCAGGAAAACACTCCTGCAGGTACAAATAAAATTGTTTTTCCGTCTAAGGACGTCTTTACATTCATTCCTCTTGATAAAGATTCCTTCCATTATTTAACCAAGAGTTATAATAAGTAAATTACTTCCAACAGCCAATCAAGGGGAAATCGAGTTAGCGGAAAAAGCTTTGAGCTTATGGAAAGTGAAACCAGCCTACTGTTTACCATTCAAAGTGTGAAATGTACATCTAAATTCGTACACTAGAAACGGAAAACACTAAGTTGGTTTCTGTGTAATTTCCTTAAGGAGCTGTGTAAATCTCCAACTTTTTAAAAAAGTAAATACAAATATGCCGAGAGTTACAAATAAATAGGCCGGAAATTCAGGAGACTTTAGAACAAACGGGCTTGCATCGTCAGCGCATCGCAGTCCAGTTGTTTTTCTCGTCACGCCTGGAAGATCCTGTAAGCTTCTTCGATGTACGAAGCCTGCAATTAAACTGTTTACAGTGCTGAATAAATCCTTACAAATTATCCCAAAACTCTCCATGTGACCTTATTATTTTCGGTCTAAAAAAACTCGAGATTAACCTTTTTAAAAGCTTTTCAAATCGAGTCAGTACACGTCTCGTTTCGCTCTCTTTGTTAGACTCGCCATCGCGGAGTAATTAATATCCTTCCCATCGCGGTAGCGTTTATTCCGCGATTATTTTTGCGCTGGATTTGATGCAGAGTCGGTAGAAAATAATCTATATTATGCTCACCTTTTCGGCCTTGTTTTACCCTGTAAGTAACATCGATAAATTCCAGATCCACTTTCTGTCTCGGTCGTTGCCAGAAGCTCAGACGCTCAAGATATTCGCCGGCCTCGAGCATCGAATCTTTACTGTCCACCGAGGTTGAATCCTCGCCGCCACAACATTTGATGGCCGACTTACAGCTTTCGGCTCGGCCAGAGATAAAATTTTCCATCGACTTCAGCCACTAGCAATTCCCGGGTATTGTTTCTCAATTTTTCTAAGTCATGTGAGACCAACCGTCTTTGTAATGTTCCCACGTCGTCTCAAAGTCCAAAACTTGTGTAATTGATTAATAATTTATAGCTTGTTTTACTGTGCAAATTTCATATTCTCTGTGTTTCTCGGCAACTTGCGGTTCAGTTGGACAGGTTGGCAACTGTCAAGTCTTAACCGGAGTTCCTGTTAGCGGCTGATTTCCGCAGAAAGACGAAATCCTCTCGATGAATCTTTCAATTTCAGGTCAAATTCATGTTTCCTGTATAAAAATACGACTAACTATTGTTACGTCACAAACTGCTGCACAAATATCAACTTCGAAACTTAGGAATCCTACGTAATGGCAATTTGCTAATCAATCGTCCAAATATCAGGTCTAGCGGTCTTGAAAAAACACACACAAAAAAATGAACTGAAAACATCACTGCAAAAAGAATGATTGTGCTGATGGAAGTTCGTGTGAGGCCTACTGTTACATGAAAGCAAATTACACGAAGTCTTTACATAATTTTCTACAAGCGCACATAAACATGATTTTGTGATTTTTCAACCGCAACAAAATTAATTCATCGGTTAGTCTCGTGGGTTTTTAATTCAGGGAAAACGATTGCTCGGTGGACACAGAAAGAAGAAATGCAATGTCCCTGTATTTTCCTTTGATCTCCCAAGGTCTTTTTACCCAAAACCGGAAATGAGGTGTTTGGTTCCACTTTCTCCACGTGGTGTCTCAAACATAGCTAGCTGACTAGAGCCCAAGACGTTTGATTTTCAGTAAATACTATATACTTGAATCAAATGGTTTCTGATATTAGCTGCACAGTTGACTGACATTTTGAAAAAAACATCCTTACCGCAAATGCATGCATATTTGTTCAATCTGGTGTCAGTGAAAACTTGCACTCCAAAGTTCTAAGCCTGTATTAATGCAAAAATATTGTATGCTTGATTTAGCTTGCATTCTGCTCTTTATTCTTGCAGCAAAGTTATTATATTTAATCCCGAAATAGCTAAATTAATAATTTTCAACTTACAAGAACTATATTTAATCGCAACTAGAATATGTAAACTAGAGTTTGAAATCTTAACAAAAAGACTAAGAATTTAAAACTTATTCTTAAAGTAAAAGGGGATTTATTTATATCAAGTTGCTCCTAAGGAGCAAAAATGTGAATGTGAATTTTTCTTTTCAGAGGAATATCACTGTCCCTGAGAATTAATTTGTTTAAGAAAACAGCCCAAAAGAAAGGGCATGCCAAAAGCTGTAGTTCTATAACTCAACAAAAAGACTTCTACTTCTTAAAAGGAATCTTGGGCAAAAAAAGTTTTCTTCCAAATATTTACATTATAATGTTATTGTGTGATATTTGGATGTTTTAAAGATACAGCATTGTGTGAATTAGAATATAAAGGTGCTATAATCAATTGTAAATCATATTCTGGCTGTTAATGTACAGTGCTAACAGGACACCTTTTGTAGAATCCATATTGAGATATCTGACAGTACAAAGACGTCATAAATTACCATAGAGTAACATAGCGATGCCCAGGTGATTTAAACTGGAAACCAAACCCCCTGAATTAGAACCACTTATGGAGATATTGACTTAAGGCACCAGGATCAGTTAAGGAAAACCATTAGGCATATTTAAAAGCTTGCTCTTAAGGCAAGATTTCCTTTAACCGAGTAAATAATCTGCATTCCACCTGTCAAGATCTACATCCAGGAGTCACAGGCAAACTTGGCACCCTTCCCCTTTAGGCTAAAAATATAAGGCCCCAGTAGGAGTCCATTACTTAATTATATTACTGGGCCAGAGACAGTAACATGATGCAAAGTTTTAACTTTTAAATTTAAAATTTTTAACTCAGGTAGCTAGTAAGCGTATAAAATTTTCAGACTGGAGATAGCACTCTGAATACACTCCATAGAACTAAGGTTAGCCTGAATAGCTGCACTCAGGTTAGCCTGTTTGCGGTTAGCTCCCCGTAATGGAAATGGAACATAATATTATTAATGAGCATTAATGCAGACTGCAGTCTGCATTCAGCAGTCTGCAAATGTCATTCACCGGCTATTAAGAAGATAACTTGTAAACATAAATTACTGTCTGTTCAGCTAGGGAATTTGATGCATTAATAAAGTTTATTCTAGATTTTTCTTTTATCATGCAATTATTTTGCTCCTTCCACTCAATACCCCCAGTCTCTTCTCCCATAAATTCCCAAAACAGGCAACTGTTTGATAAAACACAGCCTGTAACAATTTTTTTAATTAAATTAGTTTTTCAAAAATCCAAAGTAAAACTGAAAAGGTACAGTAGTTGTGTGCCATTCACAGTTCACATAAAGGCAAACCTTTGTTGCTAATGCGCCCACCTGCAGCCCACCCACTAGTTTGCCTCCCACACACCCCCAACATAAAAATTAATTGCCATTTTAACCTCTTTTAAATATTCATAATTTCCCTGTGAATAATTTTCCTCTTCGATAACCCTTCAGGAAGGCTTCTATATTAGAATTTGGGAACAACTTATGAGTTTTCAAAGTAAAAAACCGTTTCCTTGGCTGTCCTATCGACCATCTTCAAATTCGCACGAAATTGTAAGGCAGCTTAATTTTGTAGTGGTTTAATGCGTTTATCTGGTTGCCGCTAACCAATTTGCATAAAACTGCATGCTATATTGATCTCACACGTTAACTAGCAACAATTTCTTACCGTAACAACCGATACTCAGTCACATTGTCTGCAGAAATATCGCCTCAGTGAAGTTAACTAAATTAAAAACAGCTTACATTTTAGTTCTTCTTTGTAAAGACTTCTTAGAAAGAAAGCTGTCTTTTTCAGTTCTTCAAATTTTTACTTACTTTTCTGCTTTCAGCCTAAAGCAAAGAAACTTCTGTTCGGGGTATTTTCTCGTAAAATTGTCGTTTTCTCTCCAAACTACCATTTTCCTTGGTTGATAAAAGGCAAAATGAGCGACAGAACCAAGAATTCTTTCGCACAACATGGCCACGGGTGACTGACAACGTGTGAGCTCCGGTACAATTTGTAAACCATACATGACGTACCTACCTGTTGGAAAGAAACAAACATGTCGGCCCGAAGTATGTGCAATCGTTTGTACATAATTTCTTGCCTTTCCTTCCAGTTATGCTTTCTAACTACACGTATTTCCTCTTGTGGAATGAGCACGCACATTGACATCGCCCATCAGGCTATCAATTGGTTCAAGGATGCAAGAAACAAGACTGATTACAGGGATATAATCTTGAGGCATCAAGATGCGTTCATTGGCGGAAATCCCTACCCGGACGCCATGTATTCAAGTCTCTGTTTCGGTGGAAAATTTCATTCGATCGCTGAAGATACACACTGGGCACCTTTCCTAAATGCTACCGTTAGGTACATCAGGAAGAAATACCCAAAACCTTGGGACCAGGTTTGTGAGAATCTAATCAAGCTGAAGCTGAAACTTGATCTATCCCCGTACGTTGCGTGGGTATTTTTTGCAAAAAAAAAAATGATAATAACAATAAATAAATAACAATAATAAAAAAATCATACTTAATTATCGTAGATAATAATTGAAACACTGTACTGTACAAAGATCTGAAGTACAGAGTACTTGACTTTAATATTTATAAACACACTTTAAATTTTGACTGCTTGGGAAAAAAAATCAACACAGCACGATTCGTTTACCAGTTTTTCTTATTCTACCACATATCCACTAGTGTTACCGTGAAACTCTGTAAANCCCCCCCCCCCTTCCCCTTCGCTGCTAGGAAAAAAATAAGACTTTTTAGTGACATGCAAAATGTCATCATTGTATTGGGTTGGGGAGGGGGAGGTGAAGACAAAGACCATTTGAAGCGTCCCAAAACTTTTACCAGGGTTGTAGATCACAATGGGTCAATTTGGACATTAATTGTAGCATATGCATGGAAAAAGACCCAAAGTGACTGACAGCAAATTGCTTTTCACTTCCTTCAAAGAAGAAAGAAGTCCCTTCTAAGGGCTTTTTTTTGTGCACCCCTTTAGTTAGTGCAACATATATGTCTTAACAAGCCAGTGAAATGAATTTATAGAACACAGAAAAGTTGGTTGCCTTTACCCTTGGCTTTGTATCGCACCAAGTAGCAGATGTAACATGGCACAGTCTTGGGATTGAGCAGGGTTTCCTGACCACCATGGGAGATGTCAACTTCTTTGGTTCATTTCCCGCTGCTCATAGTGTTGGTGACCCTGGGGGTGACATGGTGGTGTCATTTGAAGGTGATACAAGAAAAATACCCTCAGGCATTAATGAATGGTACGTTAACTGTGTTGTCATTAGGGATGGATTAAGGTGGCAGTTTCCTGGCCCTTTTCATCTTTCATTCAAAGCCTTGGCTTTTTTTGTTGTAACAATTCTCTCAGAATGCTGAAAATTAAGGTTCTTAGAAAACCCAGGGTTTTTTTTTGGAAAGGGGTTGCACACCCACAGTTCCCTGCATGAGTTATATTGATTATTGCCACCACTCCCTGTTTATTACTTAACTGGATCTTCCCCATTAAGATCTCACACCAAGAAAAGAATACACAGTTTGGCATTTGTTTGATGCAGTGCATACACACTGGATTATGCAGGACAACTGAATTGTGAAAAATGTAATACCTTCAAAGCAACAAAGGACAAAAATACAAGGACAAGAAAGCAGTTTAAAATTTGATAACATATCCCTTAACTAAAAGAGGCTTGCGTCATTCCTCACCTCTATGGGGCTTGCAAAAATTTGACATGTAGCTTACAATATATTCCAAGGTGTATTACTTTTCATGATATATAAAAAAAAATTCCACCAGGTACATTCCATCTGGAGATCTGGAAAATATTTACCTTGACTATTATGGAGAGAAGAAGATCAATAAAGATGAGATTGAACTCTGTTCTGCTCTCATGCTTCTTGGTTGGGTAGGAGAGAAGATTGCTGGAGCAAAGCTGTTTTCTATATATTCAAAGACATCACCATTTTTGATGGAGGATGTGCATTCATATTTTCAGGGTATGGGCTTAAAATGATAAATTTGATCAGTAACTTAGAGAAACATGTTAACAGCTAATTAATGTTAAATGTGTAATTTCTGATATCCATCTTCGGGTTTTACAGGTTTGAAACCACACCCTACCTAGATTCACATTTAGGTGATAAAAGCTCTGTCAAGACCCCTTTATATTTTCCTTACTTTGTTAAATATATATATTTTTGATACCAGATGATTAGGCACCCTCTCTCTAGCCACTTAATTCAATCAACTGACTCAAGTTACTCAGAAATAACAAAAACATATTTTCCAAGCAGTGTTTAGCCTGTGAGAGTATCCTTTTTTTCCGTCTCTTTTTTCATGTGCCAAGACGTGCTTGAAACTAGAGCCAAAAAAAAAAAAAATAATAATAATAATAAAATAAGTTCTCCCAGGTTAGACAATGGTTGGACCTATATATAACCAATGACCTTTGGAGACTCTTGGCAATGTGACCATATGAAGAAAATCTTTTTACCCAGTTATGTAACTAGTAAATAAATATTTATCTTTCGTGTTCAATATTGTTATTGATATTGAGGTTTAACTGATGATGTTACAGGGGGCGTGGCTGACATGGCAGCCTGGTCCATTCTTCTCTGGCACAAAACTATAGACATGTTGGAACATGGTACAGATGTGTGTGTCATCCCCAAAAGCCCGCTGTTTATTAACTGCAACAAGACTGATCATGCTACTGGTTTGAAAGCAAAACAGTCCAACAGAAAGCTAAAGAACCCTGGCACTGTAATTCTACAAGAAATCCGTAAAAAAATGAATTTATCAGATCTGAACATTAGACAGACTGAGAGAGGAAGTTATTTCTCTTTATCAGAGTCTCTCCGCGCAAAGGCGCTGAACAAGAGGGAACTTTCAAGGGGTTGCCATGGTTCTGAAAACTGCCATCTTGAAGTAATAGCTAACGAAAACAGTGCAGATCAAGTGGGATTAACAACATCAGCAGAATATTGGTCTTCTGTGCCATATGCAAGATTAGGATGGTGGGTTGATTAATATCTTAATTTCTATGTCTTGGATGGTACTTATAGGCCAATTTTACATGCACTAGTTTACAGTACAACTTATATCCCATGTGCTTCTCCAAGACAAACTTACCTTTTATTAAACTTGTTTTCTCCGCCCATACTGTAAGATCCTCACTCAGTCCCTCAATCCTCCTTATGCCCGTGGGTGCATAAAGCCATGACACACAGACTGCCACAACTGCCCATCTTTCACTTTCTTCCTCAGCTCTCCCTAGCCAACTCCACTTACCTGTGTCTCCTCTTCTACTGTCTGTCACCAGGTAGCAATTGTAGTTAATGTAATTAATTCTGACAGCAGTTTAAATGGAGGTCTTCATAATACAAATCTCACTTATTTCAGGTCTCTGGCGCATGGTAATTTTAATGGCCTTAACCACTCCCTTGTGATTGGTGGGCCGGGTTATGGAACACCAGGGTACAGCCAGCATGGTCGCATATACCTTGTGACTGGTACAACTGACAGTGGCTTACCTTGTGAGGACTTAAACTTAGATGTTTCCGCTAACATGATTCTCGATGGAATGGTGGAGAATGGTAGATTTGGAACAGCGGTGGCAGTGGTGGATTTAAATGGAGATGGAGTGGATGATCTAGCTGTCTCTGCCCCATCAACAGGTTTGTACCGTGTAGTGTTGAGCGACTTCTTAGGTTCCTTCCTTAAGCACACCCACTTTGGCTAGGCTATATATCCTGTGCCATAAGGATACAGCCTGTTGTACTGTACCTCTGGAAAGTTAATTGCATGTTATTATACCAAATATACCAGTTATATCCAACCGTAGTTTTGTGGCATTTGTAGTGGTATTCTGTCAGTAT